AAAGGAACCCCCCCCCTCCAAGCTGTACCCCTCCTCATGAAGCTGTAACAGTCCATGGCAATGGATTGGAATGGAAGGTGATGTTCTGTCATGATGGGAACTAGATCCGGTGAATTCTGATGTGTGATGACCTTGTTCTCTTGACAAGCTGTGCAGCCAGTAACATATTTGCTAACGTCACAAGCAAGGGTGGGCCACCAATAGGTTCTCTGAAGAATCTCTTGTGTTTTGTATTGTCCAGGGTATCCTGTAGTGGGAGAGTCATGAGCCTCCTGGATGAGATCCTGTCAAAGTTTGGTGTCCTTTGGTATGTAGACTTGTTCTCTGAATATCAACAAGTCATCCTGTATATCCCAATTTGGTGGTATGTGCTTGTCTGTGGGTGAAGTATGCTGTAACACAAGCTGAAGACTGTGATTGGTGATGTTATCCTTTGTTTTGCAGGTCAAGATGTGTTGTCTGATGTCAGTATTGATGGGCTCAAGGTTCTGAATGGCTTGAATGAAGACTTCTGATGTAAGAAGGACTTCTTCCACAGGAAGTTCACCTCCCTCTTCAGATGCATCTTTATCTATCCATGAAAGAGCATCTGCCTTACCCAGACAAGTTCCAGGAACATGATGAAGTCGGTAATTGAATATAGATAGGTACAGCACCCATTATGCTTGTCGAGGATTTAGTTTCTGGGGGTCTTTGAAATATGTGAGATTCATGTGATCTGTCAATACTTCCACTGGTTTGGTACATCCCTCAATGTAGTGTCACCAGGCTTTGAAACATCTGATGATTGCCAGAAGTTCTCGATCATAAATTTTGTATTGCTGTTCTATAGGAGAGAAGGACTGGGATAGGAATGCACATGGGTGCCATCTTCTATCAGATTGTTTCTGAGACAGAATACCACCAGAGACTTTCAAAGAAGTGTCTGATTCTATTCGGAAAGGTTTAGTAACATCAGGTTGAACTAAGAGCAGCTGTGTCTTGAAACATTCCTTGAGTCGATTGATAGCTTTGTCATGATTATCTGTCCAACTCCACTTGGCACCTTTTACTAGGAGATCAAATAGTGGTTGTGCGGTTTTAGAATATCCTGGAATGAATCATTGATAGAAATTGGCAAAGCCCAGGAATTGTTGTAATGCTTTGACGCTGTCAATCTTTGGCCAATTGAGTACTGCTGCCACCTTATCTTCTGCCATACCAATCTGCCCTGGTCAGAGTATGAATCCTAGAAAATTGACTTCTGATACATCAAAGAAGCATTTTTCCAGTTTGAGGAATAGATCTGATTCCTTTAGGTGCTGTAGGACCATTTGAGTGCATTGTTGGTGTTCCACATGGTTGGTGGAATAGATGAGGATGTTGTCAATGTAGATTACTAACCACCCTTCTAGTAATAGATCTGCAAAGATGCCATCCATTATAGCTTGGAAAGTTGCCAGGGAATTTGTCATTCCAAAAAATATGACTGCTGGTTCGAATAATTCTTGTGGAGTGATGAATACCCCCTTCTATTTGTTGCCTTCTTTGATGTGTACATTATTGTATCCTGCGCATAGGTCGAGTTTGGTGAACATGGTTGGTTTGGCAGAAGCAACATGATCTAATAGATCTTCTACTCATAGGATAGGATAGGCATTTTTGATGGTAGCATCATTGAGTTTCCTATAATCTTGACATGGATGTAGATCTCCTGATTCCTTATTGACAAAGAAGAATGGTGATGCCATGGGAGACTTTGATGGACGAATATATCCTTTCTGCAGGTTTTCCTTGATAAAGGTATCCAACTCCTTGAGTTTCGCAGGTGATAGCAGGCAAATGTTTCCTTGTTGAGGTTTAAAGTTGGCCTCTAAGTCAATCGCATGATCTCAAGGCTTTTGTTCTGGTAGACATTTGGCTGTATTTTTGTTAAATACAGAGAGGAAAGCGTTCAAGTATTCTGGGATGTTCCTAGCAATGGCTTTGATTGCTCGTAGGAGTTGATCCCAATAAAAACAAATTTGTCCTGTGATCCAATTGATTACAGGATTGAAGTGTTTGAACCATGAAAGCCCTAGGATGATGGGATTTCTATCCAATAATGTCACATAGGCTTCTATTTTCATTGGCTGCCCAGATAAGGATATAGTGAAGAAGACTTTGTGTTTGATGGCTGCGGCTTTATTTGGTGAGCCATTGACATCAAACACCAGTCTGGGTATGATGCTCTGGTGTTGGAGACTGTGATTTTGAGCAAACTGGATGTCAATATAATTCTCCATTGCTCCTGTGTCAAGCAATGCCTTAGTTGTGACAGTTTTGGCATAGGTTTTCAGTATGCAGGGCAAATAAATAGATTTATAAGCTAGTCTTGCCTGATATAAATAATCCCTAGTGCCATTACTTTGACTTGACATCATGGTGGTCAAAGATTTCAAAAATCCTTCTCAGAGGAAATAGCTTGAATATATTCTTTGGCTATCCCTTCCTCGTCAAAGGAGTCCTTGATTTCATCCTTATCCTGAGTGGATGTGTCATGAGATTCAATCGCTCTGATGCAGTTGTTTGGGCATTGACAACTTTGGTGTCCGGGTTTGTGACATCTGAAACATAACTTCTTCTCCATATGTTCTTGGTGATCTTTGTCTGACAGTCATCTGATCCGTTGATTGTTAGATGATGCTTCCTTAGAAGATCCCTCCCTGGTTTCAATTGCATGGTTGCAATATATAAATTTGTTGTGACTGAAGGAGCGACTGGATGAAGGCATGAATAGAGGTTTATCACCAAAGATATCAATGATAGATTGGCAGATGGATTGAATGCTGTTGAGATATCCTACAGCTGTGGTCAGCAATGGGGGTTGGGCAGCAATCTTGATTAGGAGAGCAGGAGGAATAAGACATTGGAGTTCTTGAATTTTTCCTAATTTGTTTAACCCACTGGCCTGTAGTAGAGGTCAAAGAGTAGTGACAGATTGAAAACTGTTCTCCCCACACTTTGCCCATGTACATTTGCTGATTTAATTTAATACTGCCTGGGTGTCATCTTCTACTCCAAAGGTCTGAATGAAGGACTTCCTGAATTTAGCCCAACTAGGCAATCCTTTGGGTCGTGCATCGTCAGAGTTGGATATGGGTTCTTCTGTATCAGTGATGATTGTGTGAACAAAGAATTGGGCCGGTCCCTTGATGTATGACAGGGCACACTGGACTTTGTCTTTGTTGGTCTGAATCTTCTTGGGATTTCCAGCAAAGTACAGGTGAAAGCAAAACTTGGCCCAAAATGCTGTGGTCCCTTCACCATCAATCGGAAACTATCATCAGTAGTCTACCAACTAAAATTACTGCCCAAATGGAAGATTCATCTGGTATTTCATGCAGGTTTACTCTACCCTTTTTTGGAAACAATGATGCACAGGAAGAACTATCTCCAACCACCACTGGAACTGTTACAGCTTGGAGGGGGGTTTTCTCTTTTTTCCTAACTATTTGTCGTTGACCCAGTACTATACAACTGATCCTATCACTTGATGTGTTTCATCAACATCAAGCGTTTCATATCTATCACCTGCCACCTATCTCCTGTCTTACCTCTATCATGTTTCATATCTATCATGTTTTGTTTCCATCA